CTGTTCACAGAGAAGATCTTTTTTCTATGTCCTTATTTTCCCTTTTTTTTTTTTTTTTTTCTTTTTTTTTAAAGACCGACTGTGTCGAGACCATCGCGGAAAGGTACAAATTTATATGAGGTCCCAAACTGACTGTGAGCGGGCATCGTTTCTCGGCCTTTTGGCTAAGATCAAAGTGTAGTATCTGATACGTACCACATCGGCTTGAATGACTAGTATACTCACTTAACTTGATTAAGTGGATTAGTTAGAACGCGTTCAAGCTGCGGGTAGCGAGCTCTAGCGGATGGTCGTTTCTTATACGTTTTGGTTCGCTCCCTTCTGCATTCCTGTTCCGGTGGTTAGGGTCGGGCACTTGTGCTCCGACGGCCCGCTAAGCCCACCTAGGGGTCGTTAAGGCTTAGGTTAGGGTTTTTATGTTTCCTGTACCCCTTATGGAGAAACAGGGCATTCAGAAACGAACTCTGGTTTTCAACCAGTCCTCTGGGAACCAGTTTGTTTACGGTCATGATTTTGTGACTTTCTTGAGGCAGAACGGTATCGACCCAAAGTCCATTGTTTCTATGGGCTCGGGTAGATCTGCCAGGTCGTTTCATGTGACCTTTGAATCTGAGGAAACTGTTTCGTCTATATTAGAAAAACACCCTGTAGCTGAGATTGGGACGAATTCTTATTCTTTATCTGGTGGTGATAAATCAAAACTTATCGCCCGTCTTTTCTGGTTACCCGAATACATTTCAGACCATGATATAGCAAACTTTTTTAAAGCCTTTAATTTAAAGGTCGTTAGTGTGTCGAGGGAGTTTTTTTCAAACGAGGGGTTGAAACATATCAGAACCCTAACTAGAAGAGTGTTGCTTGAGGGGAAACCTGGTGGATTTGATTCGCTCCCCCACACCTCCTCAGTCTGTGGGAAGGATGTCCTGATAATATTACAGGGTAGGGCCCCAATATGCCTCAAATGCTTTCAACCGGGGCATATGCGGAAGGAATGCCCTTTTTCTAAGACTTCTAGTGTAGCTTCAGTTTCCTCGTATGCTAGTGCTTTAAGTAAGGCTCCGCCTTCTAGGAATTTTGTACCTGCATCCAGTTTGGTAAAGTCCATCCCTCCTCCTCCTCCTCCACCCCCTCCTACTACTGTGAAACTATACGAGAAGAGGGTCGACGAGGATGGTTTTTTTACGCCAAGACACAATGCGAAAAAACGTACTTCATCGGAATGTCATACCTTACTTGTCGATGACAGTAATAACGTGTCTGCCCCAGATAACCGTAGTAAAAAGGTAGCACTACAAAAGCCTACAAAAGGGAAGAAAGTATCTGGCAATACTTACCATTCCCAAATGCTCCAGTCGGCTGCAGCTGGAGCTAATACTCCACCTGCATCCACTTCCTCTTCTAAACTGTCTGATTCCTCCTCTTCGAAACCTGAAAAGAAAACCAAGAATGTTAGTGATGTTTCTGGTGAGATGACCTCAGTAGAATTGCCTCAAGTAGATATGGAGTTAGAAGACATGGCTGCTGACACTGAGAGACTAAACTCAGTGCTCGGCAGTTTAACTCCCGGTGGTTCGTCCAATGGGGAGGGTATGGTGTCAGAGGGGGAGTTCTCCGATGAGGACTCCCTGACCTGATTAACTTGCTTACCTGTACTTATCTGGTGTTTTCTTTATTTTTTTTATACTTACCTTACAGCAATGGCGTTAACCATCGCGACCATTAACTGCAATGGGTTGTTAGGGCCCAACAAAATACTTTATTTACAAAACCTTTTGTCCCTCGAACAATTCCATATTGTATTTTTGCAGGAGACGCATGTCTCAAGTCTTTCCGTAGCTAAGCGTTTTGAATGTGTTCTTAACTATAAATGTTTTTGGTCCTTTGGTACTAATAACAGCTCTGGTACAGCAATACTCCTTAAACATAATTTAAGTTATACAATAGACAAGTTTCACTTTGATCTAGAGGGGCGCCAGGTTGTTTTAGACATTGAAATTAATGAATGTCCTATAAGATTAATAAACGTATATTGTCCGAATACACCTTCGGATAGAAATGTTTTTATTAAGTGTCTGGAAAGATTTTTGGTCTCTTCCAGATTAGTTATTTTTGGTGGTGATTTTAATTTCGTTGAAAACAACATTTTAGACAAAACTGGTGGTAATACTGATAAACTTTCTTCAAGTTGTTCTATTTTCAATAATTTAAA